ATCATCAAAATGATCAAAAACATGGTAAATGAAACCGCCACTCTATATGGACTAGATGGTGGGTACAATGTTTCATTTCATCACTATTGGCATGCACACAAAGGAGTAAATTCAGGGGTAGCAAATTGGATTCCAAAGTTGAATGTAACAAAAAATCGAAAGGTCAAGAATACATTCATCCGTTGAGATCTACAGCAACAAGAATGGTCCTGTTGAAGTTTTTAAACTGATTTTGTATGATAGGAAGGTATTATATAATGTCAGAATTAGCCAATACTTGTCTTAGAAAAGTTTTACTATTAAACTAATAGATTGTTTTTCTATAATGTTTTTAAGGTAGTAATTTTCAAGCTATGTCGTTTAAGGACACAATCGAAAAGTTCTTTGCCATACTTGAGAAAGAAAAAATATCGAATTTCGAAATGGAAAAAATAAGAACAATCAACCCTTATTCAACATTTCACATTATATACATAATTTCAATTTTTTTTTTTTTTTTTTTTTTTTTTTTTTTTTTTTTTTTTTTTTTTTTTTTTTTTTTTTTTTTTTTTTTTTTTTTTTTTTTTTTTTTTTTTTTTTTTTTTTTTTTTTACCGAGGGGATACTCAGCATTACTTTTAAAATAAGACGCTGTAATCTGATACAATTTAGTGAAACATAATAATTTTAAAACCCACAAAACATTTTTCAATTTCCATCATTTTTTTCGTTGATCAAAATTTGGAAGACTATTATTTCCTTTTTTATTGTCCAAGTGACAACAAAATATATGCAGAAGGTTGAAGGACAGACTAGCAATTTTTTTTTTTTAACAACGATTCCTATTTTTGGTCTATAAATTTATTGTTTATTATTTTATTTTTATAGAAAGAAAAAATAGTAAATTCACCGAGTTTAAAATATATATTATATGGTAATATATTAGCATAAAATTATTATGTTTCACTAAATAATCAAATTAATTGAATAAATGTCATAAAACAATATATTAGCATAAAATTATTATGTTTCACTAAATAATCAAATTAATTGAATAAATGTCATAAAACAATTTCTAAAATTTCTAAATCAAATGCATTTTCTAATTTTCTGTTTTGAAAAACTGTTTTTCGAAATAACAAACCAAACTTGTTTTCTATAATTCGAAAATAGTCCCTCAAAACAAAAAATAAAAAATGAATTCAAAATTGAAAACAGAAAACAGAAACGCAAATTAAATGCACCCTTAATTGTTGTTGCATCCACTATGAAAAGTTGATTTGTGGCATGCTTTGAGACCACAATTCTAGGAAATTGGCTACAAAACTTTATTTCAGGACTAGAAATGATCCACATTATTGTCAAATCGTAAAAAATTTATTATAATAATGGTTGAGTACTCTTCTTTGCAAAACGACAATTACTCTAAGGGTACTGCAATTATAAAATCGAAGTATTTTCCCATTAAAGAAAAAGTTCAAAAATAAAGTGTGTTAGTAGAGCCAATTATCACCAATTTATGATTACAAATCCACTAACGAAGGGTTGCGACCAAAAACATGTAATGAACACATGAAAGAATGGACATTATTGAAAACAATCATTAACCTTATTTTACTAATTTATTTTTAAGTATTTGAAACTATGAGCTCATCTATATATTATTCTTGACATTTGATTTGACACAAACAATGACTTTCTTCGCCAAGAGGTCATCACGTTAGGCAGCTAATTATGTGAATGTTGATAGAAAGAAAAATAAGACATTATTGTTGGACCATTATTGAACTTCTCCTTTATTTAAATGTCATACTATATGAGGGCTAGTGTTGTAGTACATCAAAGTGAATTCATTGAAAAAAAAATGATGTACTATTACGTCGACTCTTATTAGCTTTCATTTAAGTAGTCATGGTATTTTTCGAGTCAAGATTTATATAAATTATGATTTTACACGAAATAATAGAACTCTTACTATTAATGCCATAAGAATCATATAAGACCATCTGATGTGATTGGGAGAACTCGAAACTGGTATGACATTTGATTTGATAAAAATGTTCAATAGCAATTTTCTCAAATCTTTTTAAGAAAAGGAAAATAATTATTTATTTTTTTATGTTTTGATCTTTCGATCTCCATTTGAACCTTTATTATTGTGAATCAATGTGCCAACCAATTTTTAAAACATTGTAATTTACATCAATTTTCCATAAATAATTTATAGAAGAGTGAACGACGGACCCTTTTTTTCCAAATGCCAATGAAGGCAAGAAAAATTGTTAAATACCATTGTTTATGGGCATGCCTTTTATTTTTGTCAAGCCACATGTCGTACGAGGGGGCTTTAAAGGCTTTTGGACCAGCCTCACTTTTTTTTAGTTGGTCAGTTTCCACTTATTTTCCTGTAAATAATTCATATTCGTTCAAGCAAAATCACTTTTTTAGTTGGTCACTTTACACTTAGTTGGTCAAATTTTAGCTCAAGCAAATGGCCGAACTTTTCAATTGCCTTATGGCTTCTTGAAGCCCTCAATAACGTGTCAATCCTCATGTATTGACTCGTTAGAGCCTCCTTATTTGTTATCTTACCGTTTAAGATCACATAATCCGTGTTTTTATAGGTATGTAGTGGTGCGCTCGATTATCACGAACACTTATGTGCCTACTACCATGTGCTTTCTGATTAAATTTATCTAAACAACTCCATAGACTTGTAGTGCTGTCAAATAGGATAGGCTCGAAAACTTGTAAAAACTCAGCCACTAAATAGTCACGATAGCTTTCGAGCTAAGTCGAGAGCCGCCCTGCCCCCACCTTCTTCGTGGTCTTGACTTTCTATAGATGGGCCGGTTTAATACGACCTGCAAAAAGGACAGAGCGTGCTTTCCCGGGCAGGCTTAACCCAAAAAATCCTTGCTTTACCCCCCACATAGGGCTAAATGTTAGGGTGGGAGCAAGCTATTTAGCCGTTATAGAAAATTTTTATTCATGATATTACCTTAGAAAATATCTGCAAATGTCTCAAAAGCTCGAAAGCTATCATAGAAGCTCTCTCTCCCCAGAGAGAGAGAGAGAGAGAGAGACAGAGAGACAGAGAGAGTAATTGAAATGAAGAAATGGCCACCACTACCACTCACTTCCCTCTCAAATTACAAACAGGCAGTCAAAATTTATTTGTAATATTACTTTTCCTTCAAATTTGACTGCAATTTCTTGTTACCTCATCCAACCTTCCTCCACCGTTCAATTTTTTTTTTTTACTACAAACAACATGAAGTGACTAGTCATTGTGCACATGTAACTAACATTCCCAAGTATTTAGAGTTAGTTCAAACTCAACTATTATAATTGAACTCCGTTTAGGTTTTGTGTTTGATCGGTTAATCTAGAGCAACCCTCCTTTAGTTGAGTCTAGGACTGACTATGAAAATAGATGAGGAAATTACAAAAAATGTCTATTTTGACATAGTCATTTGCAAAAATGTCCAAAATTTTTCAATGTCCATTTTTTCAATTATTTGGACGAGAGTACCCCTAAGTAGCTTCCATGAGAAGTTACATTAAAATGATATTCTTGACATTTCAAATGTCGTTCTCGATATTTGAATCCGTTTATATTTCAAAAATACACATGTCAAATTACAATATTAAATGTTCTCGATATTTTAAACGTTGTCCTCGACATATTAAATGTTTAGAATGACATTTCATTCAAAACATAACATTTCTCTACACTTTAAATATTGTTCTCGACATTTCTGTGTTTATCATTAATTGTGATTTGAAATGTGCAATATGAAATTATTTATACTTTCATTAAGGGTAAAATATAGAATTTGGTATTAAATTTGGCTATTTTTGCAAAGATTATCAAAACTAGACATTTTTGAATTGACATATGTAAAATTGGACATTTTTGCAAATGCCCAAAAAAGATAGGCCAAGTTCAATTCCATCGTAGTGTCTAGTCTAGCTAGAAATCATGTCACGCTTATGAGTTAGAAATAGATAAGATTAAGGAAGAGTAATAAGTTAAAATCTTAAGGTGGACTACTCAATACTAAACAATATTAAGAGAACACTGACGGAATGTTTGATATACTGTCACGTGGGTAAGAGTAAATGAGCAAAAGAAATTAAAGTCTTATTCGTTGTCTGACATCATTGTCCACTAATGCACACCAAACATACCCTAAGTTGTTTAGAAAGTGTGAGGTGGATCACTGAAATCTACTTGGCAAATGATTATTGGCCTTATGTGTTCGGAAAGGATTATGCTAGTTGATATGTATTGTGGATTATAGATTAAATCCAATCATATTGAATTTGAATTCAAATGATTTTGACTCTATAATTGTAAGACTTCTTCATTTATTTCACTTGGACTTAGAGAGTTGGAAAAACATAGAGAGGAGCTAAGTGGGAGAGTTCATTTCTCCGGTAATATCCTTGGTTGACTCTGACGGTTTTCTCGATGTATCCATTACCATTCCCATGGATAACAATGCTTTTATCCAGTGTGAGACAAATGTGAGCTAAACAACACAAGACACATTGGTGGTGAGGTTGAAGAAGATTTGAGTCGATTACTTCGGTTTTGTACACTTTAAGAGTTTTTTTTTGCATTGTGGTTGTAACACATCATTGTGCACTACATTACAAACTCTACCAAAAAAAAAATAAAAAAAAAATGGACTCAAGTTCGTCTTGGTACAAGCAGAATGGGAGAAGCATATTAAAGAAAAGTACATAGAAAATAATTTTTTTTAATAAAGCCACAATCTAATAACTAATATAGACATGAAAGTGAAGTCATTTTAATTAATCTAATGCTTAAATACTTGAAATTTATGTTATTTCATTCTAAGCGTTAGAGAGACTGCAATTATAATAATTAATTAGGTGGCATGCAGTACTGAAATTCATAAAGTGCAACAATTTGGACCCACCATATATTTAAAATCTTATGGACTATTGCCTATAAATATTTGGCACTGTCCTACTTGAGTAGCTACAAATACGCATCATTTTTCATTACATAAGAAATTGTTTATTATTATTATTTTCTAAAATTTCTGCTAAAAAATTGCTGCAATGCCAGTTTCTGATATCAAAACAGGCCACATTGATGATGTTCAAGAACTGAGAAAGAGTAAATCATCATATGTTCCTGAAAGATTCATCCGGGACATGAAAGAACGGCCTAAATTTGACAAAGATATCGTGTCTTCGACAAACAATATTCCAGTTGTTGATTTATCAAAACTCTTTAAAGGCAACAAAGACGAATTCCTGAATGAAATCTTGAAGCTGACAGTTTCTTGTCAAGAATGGGGCTTTTTTCAGGTATTAGACTTAACTGATCGCGTAGTTTCTCTTAACATCTTCCTTATTTTTACCATCGGTTGCTGCTTAGCATTTACGGGCGGCAGTCCCTAGTCCGGACAGTTATGACTAGGAAGATGATCACTCTCTAATGACAGGTGATAAACCATGGAATTGACGTGGAATTGCTGAATAGTATAGAGAAAGTGGCTATGGATTTTTTCATGATGCCTTTAGAGGAGAAACAGAAGTATCCTATGATTCCTGGGACTGTACAAGGATATGGTCAGGCTTTTGTTTTCTCAGAAGACCAGAAGTTGGATTGGTGCAACATGTTTGCTCTTGGGTTGGAGCCTCACTACGTTAGGAACCCAAAATTATGGCCAACTAAGCCATCAAATTTCAGGTAATTGAGCTAAAGATTTCCTCCTTAATGCATTCTTCTTTGGATGGGTGGGTGGGGGCCGGTTGAATAATTCCCGTTCATTGGAAATTCGAGATCGCAGGAAAGCTTTTTCACCATCGATTGGTATTTACCTATGCAGATCCTTCTTTTTGAATTCCCAGTATTCAATTATCTTGCTTAGTTTGAATTATTTTTCATAACTCCATTTGGTTCATTCGACTGGAAGATAAGATCACGTTACTTACATAAACAGAAGCGTCTTAGGGACTAGGGTCTAGGCAAAACATATTTGAGCCACATAACTCTTTCTTTATCCTTTATTGACCCCACGCGTGCTTGTTGATTTATATTTCAAAAAAAGCACATGACATTTTAAATCATGATTTTATAGTGGAACAGTGGAGGAATACTCGAGAGAGATCCGAAAACTGTGCAAGAATTTACTGAAGTACATAGCGATCAGTCTCGACCTGACTGACGACATTTTCGAGGAAATGTTTGGTGTGGCTGTGCAAGCAGTGAGAATGAACTACTATCCAGCATGCCCTAGACCAGACCTTGTTTTGGGCTTAAGCCCCCATTCAGATGGAAGTGCCCTTACAGTTTTACAACAAGGAAAGGGAAACTCAGTAGGCCTTCAAATACTAAAAGACAATTCTTGGATCCCAGTTCAGCCAATTCCTAATGCTCTAGTTATCAATATTGGTGACACCATTGAGGTATTAGATCCTTCAAAAATTTTCTTTTACTTGTTTTCTCTATTTTTGCAGGAATCAGTATCCGAGTGGTAAATTTTGGTCCTAACGTTTAAAAAAGATCAAATTGGTTATTATTATAATTGTATAACCAGTCTCCAGTGATGGATAACATTTAAATCTCCGTTAAAAAGGTCACATGACTCTCATATGTTCAACTTTAGAAAGTCAGGTAGTGTCCTCGAACTTGAAGTGGAACATGGTTTCATGAGAACCACATTAACATTTAATTGACATTTAAACGATTCCGTTTCTATAGGCTAATTATGCAACTATAATGAAGGGTTAATGACCAACTTTTTACTCACAGCTAGCGATGCAATTTTCCCTTTTCTTTACAAGTTTTAAAGGGTTATGCTTATTCTCCAATTTTTTTTTTTACTCTATAGGTTCTAACAAATGGCAAATACAAGAGTGTGGAGCATAGAGCAGTGACTCACCAAGAAAAGGACAGATTCTCAATTGTCACATTTTATGCTCCGAGTTATGAAATAGAACTTGGACCAATTCAAGAACTTGTGAATAAAAACAACCCGTGCAAGTATAGAAGATACAACCATGGAGAGTATAGCAAGCACTATGTCACTAACAAGCTTCAAGGCAAAAAGACCCTCGATTTTGCGAAAATCAAACCTGACTCAGGATCCGAATATTAGAATCGTTATATATTTTTAGATATAGTTTTCTTGCGGATAACTTTGTGCGATGTATTATGTCGTGTCAATAACAATAAGTGACTTCTTAGAACTTCTAAATAGTATGTAGCATGGTGCAAGTTGTATGCAATGAATTAGTACTATTAGGATTTATGAAGAATGATTGATATCCAACTCAAGACTGTTGGAATTCATTAGTAAATGGAAGTTTGTGGGGTCTTATGTTTACAACCTTTTTCTTATCAAAAACATAAATCTGTTGGAAAATGATTTGTTTAAACAATGATCATATATGTAAGAATCCAACATAAGTTTGTTACTTTTACTGTTCTCTCTATTAGATTCCAAGTTGAATAAATAATCATGGAATAATGAAGGAAAATCATGGAGAATCTCCACCCATGTTTAGTGTCTCTAAAACCATTAATACATGTCGTAGTGTGTATATATGTTACATAATACTGAACATAACTAAACAATATAATGAATAAAATTTGACCGGCAAGATTATTGGGGGATGATAAGTATCTTTGAGAGTAAAACACCATGGATGACTAGCTAAAACCATGATCATAACTCATAGCTTCGTCATATTGTGCTATTCAAAGAGCAATTCTTCTCAAAATCTCACTCAAAAAGCAATGAATTCGAATCTTACATTAACTAAAGATTTTTGTGTGGTTTCAGAGGTTTCATTTACGCGAAAATCAAGAACATAGATCTTTTCATCATTTTTCCCCGACTTTAAACCCTAACCCTGTTGGGAGAATTGCTAAAAAAAAAACTACCAAAATCTTGCAATCAATTTTAAAAGGAAATAAAATATAATGAATGGATTGATTTCCTTAGCAAAACATTAAGTTCCCTTTTGAAACTTGGAAGAAATAGGCCTTGAATGGTAAGACAATTTCCTTGTTTTAGTTACATATTGCTCCTGCCAAATTGGTTTAAATTTATGTAAATTTCATGTGTACGTAGACGAGTCTTGAGGGTTTTAGAAGGAAAAATTATAAGCAGAGCATTCTGATTTTTCTTGTTCCCTTTGTGGGCTGTTTAAAGAGTAGGAATCAGTGAGGTCTGGTAAAGTTTAGGATATTATTTTTCTTATGATAGTTGAGTATTTGGTGAGAGAAATTAACGTTCCGTAAATATTTCTCTATCTCGTTATTTTATTCCGTACAAAGATCTTCTGGGAAAATTAAAAAGAATTAGACTCAATACCTAATAAACCATCATACTATTGTTGACTACTGTTTATTCTAGCTTGTCGATCTCTCCATAAGATGATGAAAAGAAAACAACTGGCTTCCATTGTTTTGGAGAGCTTTTTCTTAGTGGAGAGGAAAGAAAAAGAGCCCACAAATCATGAATGTCTGCTTCAATGATCTCGCAATTTGTCTTACAAAACAGCACTAACCTACCAACTTGCCATGAAGTTTGATGATACTAAGTTGAAATAATATGTAAATGCTTGTAACAACTATGGCCACAAAAAGAACTTAAAAATTTTAAAATATCAAGAAATATAGACACAGAACTCCCCTGGGAAGCTGGCACCTAGTCCTTAGTATTAATGTAGTAAGAAATTTGAGTTTAACTATTGCAATCACACATTTATGAAAATTATAAACGTGGCATAACTTCAATAAAAGATTGTTAAGTTTTTTATACCCAATAAATCTCGAACTATAATGTTAACGTGGGTTAATATTATTTCATAGGCATAGGACGATGAATGAAATAAGTCCAACAATCAAGTCTATGAGCTATAGCCGGCCCAATTGTATTCCCTCTTGGATGACTTGAATCTTTACCCGTTTATCTCTTTAATGGTCCAACTTAAAGTCTAACCCTAGAGTATGTATATGGCTATAATCTTAACCACTTTCTTGTGATGTTTTGTGTGGTTTTGTGAGAAAAATCAAGGAATCCCGGCTGCCCATTTGTGTGCGAAAAAACAGCCTCTAGAAGTGTCCAAAATGCTTGTTTACTTTATGTAATTAATGGTTCCTTCATAGTATACCTTTGTGGTGTCTTCTCCTAGCCTTTGTGGTCACAAATCATCANTTGTTTACTTTATGTAATTAATGGTTCCTTCATAGTATACCTTTGTGGTGTCTTCTCCTAGCCTTTGTGGTCACAAATCATCATCTTTTCTTGTCCTATATGGGTAAGATTGAATAGCAATCGAGATGAATTAGATTGGCCCTGGTTTGAAGCCGATTGGATTAGTTGTTGGTAGATAAAGGTACGTTGGATTGAGCCCGAAAATCACCTATTTAAAGATCATTTGAGAGAGTTTCCGCATCAAAAATAAATTTGGCTGTATAAACAGGGGTCATTTTAAAGACTAAGTTTATTTAAATAAGGTTGTTCAACGTCTAAACGTATTTAATTAAACAAAATGAGTAATAAGTAGGCATCCACATAGTGTTACTATGGATTTCCATAAGATCTTATTCTCTTTTCCATTCCTGTATATTCAACTCAATTCTTTCCTATTCTTCTCGCTGGATTGAAGAAGGAACAGTACTTTGAACTTGCACTTCATTTTCCTTCCTTAAAATACATTATTTCTTCAAAATCTCTTCACCTTTCGTCATGCCCCTATATCTGTCCAAATAAAATCATCAAAATTCAAAATAAACAATGTGTTATTGTTGAACTTAGTTCAAGTCCTAATAATATGAGAGATACTTTGCTGATGCAATTAGTAAGCGGATGGCAAAAGGAAGTTCCAACATATACAAACCGAGAAAAGTATACAATTTTGAGCAGAAGATATGATTTTCTAGAATAGTCTTTACAAAGCAGACTAGACAGTACAATAAACATAATTTTAATTTTTTTCTTCTTTAATTTTATTTAAGTTCATTCGATTCACCTAATTGAACATGCAAGAGAAGTATAACAAAGTTGTCACACACAAATAAATATTTTTGATAGTATTTATTACAATGTTTAGGATAGCTTTCCACCAAATATAAGATCCAAAATTCTTCATTGCTGCCTCCTGTAAGATTTCGTATCACGTTTCAATCCTAGTGTGACTTAGATTTCGTATCACGTTTCAATCCTAGTGTGACTTATCATTTGAAAATGCCAATTAAGCATCATTAGCTTTGTCAATCTTTACGTGAACAACTTCCAACGTAGAATCATCATTTTATAAACAACTCAACTATGCTTTTCTTGAAAAAAAAAAAAAAANAATTTTATCAACACTTATTTTGTGAACTAAATTTGTACACATTTTGTACAAATAGCATAATTCAATCACAAAACACTAACAATTTAAAATTTACACAGTTTAGTCAAAAAGAGAAATAAGACCCAGAAGTGGTTGATTTTTAGACAACTTAATGTGTAGCTCCACTAGGTGAAAGTGAGTTCATGACAAAATCGTGTTGTAATTAGTAGAAGCTACCAGAGTTGTCCATGACCAATTTTGTCCTCGATTACACAGCTTTATCGTTCTTTTGATGTGCCAAGTTGCCCTAGCCTCATGACTTGAGATGTACTAAAAATCCATTTGACGGGAATTTTAAAAAGACAAAAACTACCTTTGATATTTAAAAAATTACATTTGAACATATTCGCATAATTTTTCAAAATTATTTTTTTCCAACAAGAGAACTGTGACATAATGTAACTTTTTCAAAGAACTCTTCTACCATAAGAAAAGGCAAAAATCC